TACTTCACTCACCTGCTGTCCCAAACACCAGGACTGGAAGGCATTTACACTATATCCCGCTCACATGTTACTTTCCTCACCCTTCTTCTTCTCAAAACCTCTGGGGATATCGCCCTAAACCCTGGTCCTCCAGTATCTCATGAGACAAACAAACGAAACCAGTGCTCAGGTCTTCATACAGACTTAAAGGAATTCAAAATGGCAAACAAAGAGGTGCTGCCCTTCAAAGTTTGGGAAATCCGGATGCTAATGGACAAAGAACAAAACAGGGCGCACTCTCATCGTGCATCACCGTGGTACTCCACGTGTTTATTGTGTAATCAAATAGATGTATACTCACAAACCAAAGGATAATAAAAGCAGTGTGAATAGTCCGCAATGGCAGTCAATGCAATGCTGTGCCCCAATTGGGGAGACAAACCCCCTTCCTCTATTCACACTGCTTTTATTATCCTTTGGTTTGTGTACCACGGTGATGCACAATGAGAGTGCGCCCTTTTTTGTTCTTTCTCCAGTATCTCACACCAGCCACCCTCTTTCCTCCAGGAATAGCCGCAATCCACTCAATTTAATATCAATCCCCATGCTCCCAAAAACTATCCTCCCTTTTTCATGTGCACTCTGGAATGCCCACTCTGTCTACAATAAGCTCACCTCTGTCCATGACCTTTTTGTCTCCAGCTCCCTTAACCTACTAGCAATTACAGAAACCTGGCTTCAAGCAGCAGATTCTTCTTCTCCCGCAGCACTTTCCTATGGAGGCCTTCTCTGGACTCACTCACCCAGACCCAGTGGTCGGAAAGGAGGAGGGGTTGGTTTGCTTCTATCCCAACTGAGCACTTTTCAAGTCCTCCCTAACCCTCCCTATCTATCCTTCTCTTCTTTCAAGACTCACTGCATCAGGCTGTTTTTTTCCCATTTCTCTGAGGATTGCAGTGATCTATCGGGCTCCTGGACCGTGTGTCATGCTTTCTTGATGATTTTCTCTGCCTGGCTATCCTACTTTCTCTCCTCTGAACTACCCACTATCATTCTTGGAGATTTTAACATCCCCATTAATGTCAACAACCCAGCTACATCCCAACTCTTCAACCTCATCTTTTGCATTAGCACAATGTATACAGTTCTCCACTAATTCTGATGGGAATACATTAGACCTTGTTTTCTCCCATCTTTGCACTCCCTACAACCTCACAAACACCCCCTTTCCTCTCTCTGATCACAATCTCATCCCCTTCACAGTGTCCTCATCTTAAAACACTTATCCCTCCAAGCAGCAAACAATTACCTGCAGAAACCTTCACAACTTGAACCCTGCTCCTTTCCACTCTGCAACTAACCAACTCTATGACAGAATCTCTCCCCTGTCCTGCCCTCACCTGGCCACTACTGTCTACAACAGTTTGCTTTCATCCACACTAGACTCACTTGCTCCTCTAACAACACAAAGCATCAGGCCCGACCATTACAACCTTGGCAGACTGACGACACCAGAAATCTTAAACGACATAGTCGTGCGCTTGAGCGATCGTGGCGGAAAACCCAAATCTCACCAAGCATTCACCTATATAAATCTGCTTTCTTAACATACAATTCCTCCCTCCATGCTGCCAAACAAGCCTACTTTGTCACTTTCATCAGTAGCTTATCATCCAGTCCTCGTCGTCTCTTCTCTAATTTTAACTCTCTACTTTTTCCACGTTCACCCAGTACCCCACTCACTGCTCACGAGATTGCAAATCATTTCAAAAGCAAGATTGACGCAATTCGTAGGGGCATCGCCACTGCACAGACATCCATCCCACTTAGCATACCTTATACTAAACCCTCCCACAACACTTTCCTCTTTTGACCTTGCTACTACCAAAGAGGTCACTAAGGTTTTCTCAGAAGCCCGTCTCACTACCTGCCCCCTGGATCCTGTCTCCTCACAACTACTACGGTCACCCTCTTCTTCCATTCTGTGCTCCCTCACTCACATCTTCAATCTTTCCCTCTCTACTGGTGCCTTCCCCTCCCCTCTAAAGCATGCGCACATCACTCCCATACTTAAAAAGCCCTCCTTGGACCCCACCAACCTGAAAAACTTAAAACCCATCTCCCTGCTGCCATTTACCTCTAAACTCTTAGAACGCCTAGTCTACAATTGCCTGAGCTCCTACCTCATTGACAACAACCTTCTTGACCCCTTACAGTCTGGCTTTCGCTCATCCACTCCACTGAAACTGCCCTACTAAAACTCACTAAATGATCTACTAACTGCTAAAACCAATGACCACTACTCCGTGCTCTTCTACTACTCGACCTCTCTGCGGCTTTCATCCCCTCCTCCTCAAAAAACTCCACTCTCTTGACCTCTGAGACTCTGCTCTCTCCTGGTTCTCCTCCTACCTATTGCAGCGCTCCTTCAGTGTTACTTATAACTCTGGCTCCTCCTCTTCACTCCCTCTTTCTGTAGGAGTCCCTCAAGGTTCTGTCCTTGGGTCTCTACTCATCTCCATCTACAGCTCCTCCCTTGGTCATTTGATAAACTCCCATGGCTTTAAGTACCATCTCTATGCTGATGACACACAAATCTATCTTTCTACCCCTCACCTCACCCCTTCAGTCTCCTCTCGCATTACTAAGTGACATATCAGGCATGGATGTCACTCCACTTCCTCAAACTCAATCTTTCCAAAACTGAGCTCTTAGTATTCCCTCCAGCCCATGCCCCCTCCCCTAACTTCTCCATCAAAATCAATAACACAATCATCAGTCCCTCCCCTCACGCCAGGGTGCTAGGTGTAACCCTACAATCTCCTAGATTGTAAGCTCCAAGGAGCAGGGCTCTCGAACCCCCCTCGTGTATTGTATTGTTATTGTACTGTCTCATGTATTGTCTCCCATTGTAATGTACAGCCTGAGCAACTTTTTGACGCTATATAAATACTGTATAATAATAATAATAGACCCCCAAATCCAATCGCTGTCCAAATCTTGTAGACTTCACCTCCGCAACATCTCCAAGATATGGCCATTCTTAACCTCAGAAACCACTAAGCAACTTATTCACTCCCTGGTTATATCTCGCCTTGACTATTGTAATTCCCTCCTCATTGGCCTACCTCATCGCAGGCTATCCCCTCTTCAGTCTATCATGAATGCTGCTGCCATACTCATCCACCTTACTAACCGTTCTGTATCAGCCACCCCTCTCTCTGCAAATCCCTCCACTGGCTTCCCATTGCCCAACGGATAAAATTCAAAACATTAACAATAACATATAAAGCCATTTATAACTCTGCACCAAATTACATCAGCAATCTTGTCTCTAAATATCACCCAAACTGTCCTCTCCGCTCCTCACAAGACCTCCTGCTCTCTAGCTTCCTTGTCTCCTCCTCCCATGCTCATCTCCAGGACTTCTTCAGAGCTTCCCCCATCCTTTGGAACTCTCTACCCAAATTTATCAGACTATCACCTACTCTGCTCACTTTTAGGCGATCTCTGAAAACCTATCTCTTCAGGGAAGCTTATCCTGCCCTCAGATAATAATGGAATCTTCTACTCTTCCTACCAGTCCATCCCCTACAGTTACTACCTTTTGTACCACTAACCCCTCCCTCCTAGATTGTAAGCTCCAAGGAGCAGGACCCTCCTATCCCTCTTGTATTGAACTGTATTGTTGCTGTATTGTCTCCCTTTATATTGTAAAGCACTGAGCAAACTGTTGGCGCTATATAATATCTGTATAATAATAATAATAATTATTGCACTGAAACTTGTACAAACTGTCACTTGTGGATTGTTACTACCTCCAGTTGGAGTTCGACATACAGTTGTGTTCAAAATAATAGCAGTGTGTTGAAAAAAGTGAAAAAGGCTCAAAATCCTTCTAATAGCTTTTATTTTCATACACACAAATGCATTGGGAACACTACAGATTCTATTCCAAATCAAAACATGAAGAAAAATATATCAAATTTGTGTTGTTCCTCTAAAAAAAATTGAAGAAAAGTGAATATTAGACTGTTCAAAAAAAATAGCAGTGTTTGTATTCTTCTTTACAAACTCAAACATTCACTATATAAATTGAAACATGTTTGAAGATTTTGCTTTTCTTTGAATCACTTAATTAATATTTAGTTGTGTAAGCACTGTTTCTGAGAACTGCTGTACATCTGTGTTGCATGGAGTCAACCAACTTCTGGCACCTGTGAACAGGTATTCCAGCCCAGGATGATTGGACTACATTCCACAGTTCTTCTCTATTTCTTGGTTTTGCCTCAGAAACTGAGTCCTTGTCATTTTGGCTATTTTTCTATCCATTAGAATGGTAATTTTTTTTCCCTTTCTTCCACGTCTTGGAGCTTCTTTCAGGTTTTGGTTACCATTTTAAAAAACATTTTTGATAATTTTAGCTGATCAGCCCTATCATTTTCTGCACTTCTTTTCCCCTCTCCAATCAACTTTTTAATCAAGGTACGCTGTTCTTCTGAACAATGTCTGCAACAACCCATTTTCCTCAGAATTTCAGAGAGAAATACACTGTAACCAGCATGTACAACATTTGCTGCCTTCCATCCTTAAATAAGGGCAATAATTGCCACCTGTTTTTCAAAGAATGAATGACCTCACTAATAGAACTCCCCACTGCTATTATTTTGAACATGCCCCTTTCAATTAGTGATTCAATTACACAGAATCAGCAGCATGCATGTCATGACTGTTGGGTCTGTTGGATTTCTATTACTCTACTACACCTTCTAGTAAATTATTTGCCATGTAGAAATATCATTTCTACCAAAAACAGCGATTGATAAGGTTAGTGATGTCTGACTGCTATTATTTTGAACACAACTGTATGTTCATTTATCTGGACTTTTTTTATTTTTTATCATATATATTCTTAGCGCTGCACTTATTTATTTATTGTTATTTGAGGTTTTTATAATTGTTACCTTTTTAGTGCTACAGCTGCTACCTATAGAGCGCTCACTTTTCTTTTATTTGATGATCTAATAAAAAGCACAGACACTGCACTAATGACACTGGGCAGGAAGGGGTCAACATCTGGGGCGATCAAAAGGTTAACTGTGTGCTGTTTTATTATGTGGACTGTGTAAGTTTTACTGTGTAGCAATCAATGGTGGCGCGCGTAGCCAGAAATGAAAAATCACGTATATATATACGTGATTTTGCGCAGCCCTGCTGCCCTATAGCAGTAGATCTACTATAGGGCGGTAGGGAACTGGTTAATCAGACTATGACACATTACATGCCTACATAGTAAGTTTGCTAGATCAATTTTTTTTTCCCTATCAGAACTAGCTCCCACTCTAAATTCCAACAAGCAATAAACCCCTGGGTTGCAATGGTTATCCTTGTGACACTGGATGATTTTAGGATGATTTGAATTATTTTCAGTTGCCAACTGTTATTACCTATCTGTACCTTTACCCCGTGTTTCTTTTTTTCCCCTATCCAGGGCTACTAGAAAATCTCTCTCCTTTACATTTAATTCTGTTCTCTGATAATGCCCGCTTTGTTATCTCTTGTTAAATATTCTAAATATTAAATAAAAACTTATTGTCGCTAACAAAAAAAAAAATGTCTCCTGTATTTAAAAGACCCCCTTTTAAAAGACTAACTAAAAAACAGGGTATATCAACAAATTGAAAGGATTGAATTGAATGTTTAGAAAACAGTAGTTTAGTTGTATAGTTGATCATTAAAACCAGAGCCATTTTCTGGGACACAAAATTCACAGGCAAATCAGAACTGACCCTTAAATCAAACACAGATGCTAAACCTTTTTTCAGAGAGAGACATTTATTAAAACGGAACTAAAACACAGATTAACCATTTCCCAAAAGAAAACTCTAGTTAGAAATGTTCAATAAATGGTATTACATTCTTAAATATACCAGTGTTGTTTTTTTGTAGTTCTGCCTTCTAGCAAATGTGCAGTGTATGCTACATTTAGGGTGGAACAAAAGTGAACATATAACAAATTGCTATTATTGACATATGTCAATGTCTATGTCTCTTCTGCAATAAAAGTTAACTTACCTTCCTGTTTGCAGTTTTCTGTACAATCCATACTAAGCTACACATTTGCAGATCAGTTTACATTTTCAGCAAGGTGCCTTGGTGCCAGGATAAATGAACTCCTGGGCATGCACATAAGTTATTTCATCCTGTGTTGACCAATCAAGATGACTGAAGAGCCAACACTGAGAAGAAGCTGGAAGAAGAAGCCAGTACCAGTGATGGACCTCATGGACGTTGGTTCATTTGGGAGGGGGTTGGAATTTGCGGAGTTTAGTTCTGCTTCAAGGCATGCCTTAAGGTGGAACTAAACTTTCACAGTTACATAGTTAGTCTGGCTGAAAAAAGACAAAAGTCCATCCAGTTCAACCATAAAAAAAAAAAGTTATAATCCTACACCCACAGTTGATCCAGAGGAAGGCAAAAAAACAATCAAAGCAAAGCATGATTCAATTTGCTCCTGCAGGGGAAAAAATTCCTTCCTGATCCGACGAGAGGTAATCGGATATTCCCTGTATCAACTTTACCTATAAATGTTAGTATCCAGTTATATTCTGTGTATCCAAGAAAGAATCCAGGACTTTTTTAAAGCAATTCACTGAGCTGGCCAGAACTAACTCTTGAGGAAGTCTATTCCACAGTTTCACAGCTCTCACTGTGAAGAAACCTTTCTGTGTTTGTAGATTAAATTTATTTTCCTCCAGATGTAAAGAGTGCCCCCTTGTCCTCTGTGATGACCTCAGCGTGAATAACTCTACACTGAGTTCACTATATGAACCACGGATGTATTTATACATGTTGATCATATCCCCCTTTAATCTCCTCTTCCCAAGAGAGAATAAATTCAGTTCCTCCAATCTTTCCTCATATCTGAGCTCCTCCATGCCTCTTATTAGTTTGGTTGCCCTTCTCTGTACTTTCTCCAGTTCCCCAATGTTCTTTTTGTGAATTGGTGCCCAAAATTGAACTGCATATTCCAGATGATACTAATCATTTGTACAGGGGTACAATTATATCTCTCTCTGGAGTATAAACCTCTTTTAACCACTTAACCCTCCTGAGGATTTACCCCCTTCCTGACCAGGCCATTTCTTACGTTACAACACTGCGTTACTTTAACTGACAATTGCGCGGTCATGCAACGCTGCACTCAAATTCAATTTACGTCCTTTTTTCCCCCAAATTGAGCTTTCTATTGGTGGTATTTGATTTGACCTGTGCCTTTTTTATTTTTTGTGCTATAAAAAAAAGTCCAACAATTTTGAGAAAAAAACAATATTTTGGACTTTTTACTATTAAACACATCCAGTAAAAAAATGTTTAAAAATCAAATTTCGTCATAAATTTACGCCAAAATGTATTCTGTGACATGTCTTTGCTAAAATAAAATCCCAATACACGTAAATTAATTGGTTTACATGAAAGTTATAGCATTTACAAAAGGCGATATAGATACTGGGATTTTTTTTTTCTATTAGTAATGGCGGCGATCATCATAGACTGCGGCGGACATTCTGACACTGGGGGGGGGGGAACTGACCTGGTGGTACTGACATCCCCAGTGACACCAATACAGTGATCAGTGCTAAAAAAAAAAAAAAGCACTGATCACTGTACTAATGGCACTGGGCACTGGAAAGGGGTTAATATGAGGTGTGATCAAAGGGTTAACTATGTGTAGAGCAGTCATCCAGAGCAGCCATCCAGAGCAGTGTGCCCGTGCCGACAGGGAGAAAGACTGTTTGTAAACAAAACAGTCTTCCTCCCCATCAGAGATGCTCGGTAATCATCGGTCGCTGGCGGGTAATTACCTGCCAGGACCCGGTGATTGACAGCCACGGGCGTGGGTAGGGCATGGCTGATGTCATAACTGGTCAAATCTGCATCACCATGGCACCAGCAAATCTAAACAGAGGCTAAGATGGCACTGTCCTCAGCTGCAAAATGATAGACGGGTTTAGTTCCGCTTCAGGACATGCGCCTGGTGATAAGTATCACAGTTAGCAGAGTGCTTATGTCAGCTTTAAAATCCATATTTCAAGCCCTCAAATGGCTGAAGTAAAAAAGGTCAAGTCTGTAGCACCATGACACTGTTAGATCTACAGTGAGGAACAGAAGTATTTGAACACCCTGCGATTTTGCAAGTTCTCCCACTTAGAAATCATGGACGGGTCTGAAATTCACATTGTAGGTGCATTCCCACTCTGAGAGACAGAATTTTAAAAAAAAAATCAGGCAATCACATTGTATGATTTTTAAAGAATGTATTTATCTTGCACTGCTGAACATAAGTATTTGAACACCTAAGAAACAGCTAGAATTCTGTCTCTCAAAGACCTGTTACTGTGCCTTTAAAAAGTCCACCTCTACTCCACTCATTTATATAACTTAGTAGCACCTGTCTGAGCTCTTTAAAGACACCTGTCCACCCCACAGTCAGCCAGACGCCAACTACTACCATGGGCAAGACTAAACAGCTGTCAAAAGACACCAGAGACCTCCACAAGGCTGGAAAGGGCTACGGGGCAACTGCCAAGCAGCTTGGTGAAAATAGATCAACTGTTGGAGCAATTAAAAAATGGAAGAGACTAAAGACGACTGTCAGTCTTCCTCGGACTGGGGCTCCATGCAAGATCTCACCTCGTGGGGTATCACTGATGATAAGAAAGGTGAGGAATCAGCCCAGAAACTACAAGGGAGGAGCTGGTCAATGACATGAAGAGAGCTGGGACCACAGTTTCAAAGGTCACTGTTGGTAGAACACTATGCCGTCCTGGTTTCAAATCATGCATTGCACGGAAGGTTCCCCTGCTCAAGTCTTCACATGTCCAAGCCCGTCTGAAGTTTGCCAATGACCATCTGGATGATCCAGAGGAGGCATGGGAGAAAAAGTCATGTGGTCAGATGAGACCAAAGTAGAACTTTTTGTCTAAACTTCACTCGTCGTGTTTGGAGGAAAAAGAAGGATGAGTTGCATCCCAAGAACACCATCCCTACTGCATGGGGGTGGTAACATCATGCTTTGGGGATGCTTTTCTGCGAAGGGGACAGGCCGACTACACTGTATTAAGGAGAGGATGAATGGGGCCATTTATTGTGAGATTTTGAGCAACAACCTCCTTCCCTCAGTCAGAGCATTGAAGATGGGTCATGGCTGGGGTCTTCCAACATGACAATGACCCGAAGCACACAGCCAGGATAACCAAGGAGTGACTCCGTAAGAAGCATATCAAGGTTCTGGAGTGGCCTAGCCAGTCTCCAGACATAAATCCAATAGAACATCTTTGGAAGGAGGTGAAACTCTGTGTTGCTCAGCGACAGCCCCGAAACCTGACAGATCTAGAGGAGATCTGTGTGGAGGAGTGGGCCAAAATCCCTGTTGCAGTGTGTGCAAACCTGGTCAAGAACTACAGTAAAACGTTTGACCTCTGTAATTGCAAACAAAGGCTTCTGTACCAAATATTAACACTGATTTTCTCAGGTGTTCAAATACTTATGTTCAGCAGTGCGAATAAAATTCTTTAAAAATCATACAATGTGATTTCCTGAATTTTTTTTTTTAATTCTGTCTCTCAGAGTGGGAATGCACCTACAATGTGAATTTCAGACCCCTCCATTATTTCTAAGTGGGAGAACTTGCAAAATCGCAGGGTGTTCAAATGCTTCTGTTCCTCACTGTAAACAGAAGCTAAGATGGCACTTCAGCTGCAAAAGGACAGAAGGATTTATTTCTGATTCAAAGTGGTTTCTAAGGCAGAAGGGTTTTTTTCTACCTTAAAGCGGTAGTAAACCACACCTAAAAGAAAAAAAAAAAAAAAGCCCCTAATATAATGTCATAATGAGCTAGAATGCATCACGTACTTGCACATTATGAAGAACTTACCTTAAAACGAAGCCCTCCAGCAGCGCGCTTTCACACCGCTGCAGAGGCTTCCATCATCACCCAGTCTTCCTTCCGGGTTCGCGAGCTCCGACCGTCTGGCATGCGTGT